AAGTGTAAACTTGTTTAATAAACCATATCTTTCATTTTCGATTTTTAATTCACGTAGTCCGGGAACTTTCCGGACAAACTGTGTATATATATATACAAATGGAGGAAAAGAAGTAATTTGTTATGCAGCTCTCTTTCTTTATATGTATATATTAAAAAATTCACTTTTATTGCTCAAGGATATTAAACTGAAAAAATCGATGAAAATTAACTCAGAATTAGTCATTATTTCAAAGAACAAACTACAAAGTTTCTCTTTCTTGACATTGAAAACTATATATATACATATACGCAAACCGGTTCTCGTTTATGATTTCCTGCAATTTCTTATACCTTTTTGTAGAGTTTATAGTTGCATTCTACTACTTTTGTTTGTGAAAGATTTTAAGTGTAACTAAAACTATTCAAAAAAGATTAAATATATTATGGTGTTATTAACAAAAATAATTTGAACATAATTATAAAATATTTTTTTATTTATTTTCTATATTTCAAAAAATTTTACATATTGTATAAAAATAAACATATTGTATAAAAAAAACAACACTTTCATATTTACAAAAAAGATTAAAATATTTTAATACACGGTAGAGAATAAATCGTATTTTATTAAAAAACAAACAACGTTTTATTGTACTTCAATGTAAATATTTTATATCTTTGGATAACATTACTTTTGTGCGCAAGCTTGTCACATACGTCTGAAAACGCAAATACAAATTTTAATGTAAGAGAAACACGCAAGAAAATTAGAAACATATGCAATGTACAATTATAAATAATTCATACGCCTTGATATTGTGAGAACAAGAAGATTGATGTACAAAAAGCTTATATCTATAACCAAATTTAAATTTATACTATACATTATTAATACACTTCAATGCTATTTTATATCCTTTACATCTTTCTTTAAAACTTTAGCATGTAAAACTACATTGTTACATGAGACTATTGATAAGCTGATATTGTGTGTTCCATTATGTATAATTAAATAACTTTACTATTGTTTATATATTACTTTTTTAATAGTTGACATTGTCTGTATGTATATTACGCAAAAGCAATACTGTTTTACTATCTACTATTAGAGTATTTACGCAAAAATTTGTTACAGTTGTTTCACAATGTTAATGTATTTATAGTTGATGTATTTATATACAAAGTACTATAAATATACAATGTAGACACAGATATACGTTAAACACATTGTAACACAAAATACTGTACGTAAATTTTCAACATGTAATCAATTTCATTTGACGGAACGCTTTGCGTATGGTTAACAATTTATTGCATCTATCAATAGTAAGATTGATAATTTCATGTAACTAATATGTTAAAAATTAGTGTGTCATTAGGAGGCATTTAATAAAAAATCACAGTTGCAAAGCTGCGCTTTTCCTGTTTGTTTGGTAACGTATTTAAAATAAAAAAAAAATAACTTATATACATATTATATTTAACATTTGCTTATCTGAAATATTATAATTGAGCTATATTATACATACTCATATATGGCAAAAGACCATATTTTGGTTGACGCATGAATATTTCGCGATTATTTTATACAAACGCAACGTTTGCTATCATGTGTTACTATAAAATTACATTATATAAAGACATAACTTTTCTCTCTTTCTCTTTTCGGATTAAGAAAGACAAGAAATTGTAAATCAAAATTGCTAGACCAAAGATGTTGATGCAACGGATCTATTGTCATACAGAGTATCCATGGCACCATAATAACTACATGGGTTTTTTGTTAACATACTATGCGCAGATATTACCGCGTGCTTCTTCAGACTTGATCGATGAATCATTCGACGTCGTAAATGATCCGTAAAAGGGTCTTTTTCGACAACAGAAGCAGAATCGCTCGAGCAACTCGGTCAGATCACTCTTCTCACAGTCGTCTCTGAAAATACCGCTCGACGCTTCATCCTTACACGGCGCTATAAATGTTTGCAGCTCGTTCTTCGGAAAGCCTTCGCGATAATAAATCTTAATCGTATCGTACGCGTCCATTATCACAGAAATGAACAAACTTAAGACGACGTAAATATATAACGAAATGAACGAATATAAATAGATCCTAGAATACCACCATAGCACCACTGATTTGGAAGATGTGATAGAAAATGTGGCAAACATGTCATCACCGTTAATCAACGCGAACAGACATTCCGAGGTACTCGCAAGAGAACGAAACTTCATATTGTATGGACCGAGCACCAGCCAACCGCAAAATGTGAAACCGGCGTAAATAAGTACCGCACATATAAGAAATCTCGCTACTTTCGGCGTAGCTTTCTTCAAAGTTAATATGACAACATTGTATGTCTTGAAGAAACCGAGATAGCGCAAGACGCCGAACCATACGAGTAGATTACCGGTGCCAAGAAATATACTGCAGATGTTCCAATGATCACTGTTGAAGTGTTTCCGTTCAATTTGTTCCTTTATCACACTGCCAATAATGATCAGAATATCGTTGATAATGATCATGATATACCAGAGGTTCAAGAACTCCAATCGACACTCTAGATTTAACGTCGTACCGTACGTCTTTCTGAAAAAATTTATTGTTTCGAATTTGAGCAACTGCGCCCTATATATCGCTCGCGAACATAACACGAGAGAAATTGTGCAAATTAGTATAACGAGCAAATTCAACAGAGTTCGCAACGCTGATTCGATGCGGTTGTCTGTGATGTAGCGAGTGTCACCCTTGCATTGTAACTTCCTGGCTTCAGCGTCTAATGAGAGCAACATCTGTCCGTCAAAGTCACGATTATCAAAATCGATTTTGACGTTGAAGCGGTAGCAATCGGGTGGTGTCATTGGTCCAGCTGTTTTTAGGTTTACTGTCTTTAGAGAGAATTTCAGATAAGCACGTACTAGCGCGGAGAAGTTAACGTTGATATTTCTGTTTTCTAGAAGCTTATGCGACGACTTAAACGTCTCAAAGGTTTCAAGAGTAATGTTCATGCACGTCTTCACAATCTCACTGTCAAACACATAGCTCTCGTTGAAGCCAAATATTATGCCTTGTTTATATTCGTAAAGACACAGAGCCGCGGGTCCGACCGAATTGTCTTCAGCGATATACGAGTATGAACCAACAGCGTTGTTAACATTGTAGTAGCCATGCAAAGCATAATCAATGGCATCAAAGAATTCGCTTCGTTTGTAAATGGCCAATGGTCCTGTTGCAGGTGGATACGCAGGTACCTGAAAAGCATTATTTATAAACATATACATACATTAATTGCAAATATGCAAATATACGAATATAATACATACCTCATGTGTAGCATCCCATCCCATTAAAAATAGATGTGAGAAAGTGATTTGATTGTCCCACGTGTAATTTACATGCGTGTAATTATTGTGCGCAAACAAACAAAGCTGTACTGTTACGAGAACAATCTTGAAGACTTGAACGAAGAGTTTATAAGGAAAACGTCGTTTTGCCTGCCATTTTTCGATTGGGTTCATAAAGAAAAATCGCAGTTTGCGACGCATCTTTTCTTCTGCAAATGTCGTGACCGGACAACTCTTGCAATCTGCGGGAGCGGAATGATTTTGCCTATAATGCAAAAAATGCATTTTGTTTAAGTCAATAAACATTAAATTAAGTTTACTTAGATTACTAATTAATTTTGTACCAATGTCTTTTAATAGTTGCGTTTTTCCTAACAAAACATTACTGTTCAGAATAATAACAGAAATAATCGCAGATGAGAAAATTAGTTGTTCACAGATAAAAGAAAAAAAAAGAAATAATTACTCCTGTAATGCAAAGCTGCACAGTACATTTAATTTGTGATAATGATTAAGTTGCAAACTATAATGATGAAGGTGCTTAAAAATATGATTGAATTCCTGCTATTTGAGCTTGTACAGATTATGAATATTCAAAAACATAACATATGGTAAATATTTGCCACTGCAAATGCTTATGTAATTGCGAGCAGCTTTTTTCATCATTCAACTTCATGTGCAATATTGTTAAAAGAAACTGAATATATCTATTTATCTCATTTTTGAGTGAACATTTCTTAGTAAAACAATAACCAAATAGAGAATATATATACTGACTCGTTAGATGTAATTATTTGACAATAATATTTCTATTGTTATTTAATTTCTATCTTAATTGCGCACGTATCGTAATTGCAATTACGTTTTAGCACATCTCATCTACATGATTACATACTTTCACATCAAATGATGGTATGATAACAAGATTTGTGTTTTAAATTTTTGTCAACAATTAATTCTGTGCTTTCCAACAAAAACATCCAGATAAATGACACGCACTCTCTTGACTACATACAATCTCTTCTCTTTCAAGGACATCTCACATCTATCACTATTGCAGCATATCACTGGTAGAGTATCAGAGTTGACACATACATAAGTCTGCATATATATACATATATATATATTGCATATTACAATATAGAATGTAGTATAGTAAAGATTACACATATACAAACGGAATTAAAAATGACTCACAAAGAAACACGAGACTGATGATATCCAAACATGCTTGTTTGACCCAATTATCGATCGCTTGTGATAAATTATGAAAACGCCAATTGGCGAATATAATTACGATAAGCTCGCTTGCAAACCTAGGTTCGTTGGTTTCGACGAGCGACGCATTTTCATTGGCGATTTCATCGTCGCTGTCGTTATCGCCCTGGCTCCAAGTGCGATTCATTACTGTAGCTCCGAGACTGTTTCCCGCCGTAGTGACGTTTTCGCACGTTGTTCTCTTGTACACGTTCATCCTCTCGAATTTCAAAACGTTATCAAAAAACTACAAAGTCAACAAAGAGCGAAAGCGTCCTATCTAGAGTCGACGTCAATCCTCTGCCTGATTAACGATGTAACGTCTAGCTGTTTATATGTTGATCCGCGTAGCGAGGCGTGAAACAACGAAATGTTACGATAAAACGTCAGAAATATGATGCTTGACGCATGTTAATAACAAGTTATACGATTAAATATAACGTACATACCTGCGTACATAACTCCGAGCGTAATGCACAATTATCAACAAATGGAACAATTGCGAATCACTGGCCATCGCGCGTCAAACTACCCAAAATGACAAACGTCAACTAACTTGACTTCTTTCTTTCTTTGCTTCTATGGCGCACGCCCCTGCACGTGAGGAGCAAATGCCATCGACTAAATGACTGAACTCTTTGATCATATAAATTATATACCAAACCAATGTGCCAAGTATCAATAATTCGCTGTGTAACAGAGATTAACAGTGCTTCTGTTGCTAAAGTGGCAGAAAATTGAAACATAAAACGCAGCCAATAATCGCGTTTAGCAGAACAATTGTTGAGTTGTCGTCTTGTCAACACTCGACGTTGATTTTCTGGTTCTAAAAGTAAGAGCCAATCACGTTCGATCGCTACAAAACAGTTTGTTTGGCTGAACGCAGCTTAATAGACGTGCCGTGTTCCCGCTGCCATCTTCCCGTGAAGTTATCAAAGTGACGCTTGCGCGGCTCCGTTGCGTTAATAAAATAGAGGTAATTTTTTTATATTTGATAATTTAGTTTTTAATTTGATAATACATTGTGTGTAATTCTTGTACTTTTGGACTTTGCAACAAATTATGTCTGTAGTTTTTTAATCTCATTAAACACAGCTGTCAAAAATAAAATTACGAGAGATAGAAAATTACGACGCGCACACAAATACATTAAGTATAGGTGTGTAACATGTATCTCTTTTTTAGAGCACTTTTCAATCAATTTCGATTTAATTTGTTTTGCAGAATCAGTCGTGTAGACTGTGTGTTGCAATGTTTCAGTAATAATTGATTTCAATAATGAACAGCAACACTACGGCTTCGGATTGACTTACAAAAACAGGCTGTGATAAAAAGTCACATCAGCTTTTTTATTTGGGATTTCTTTCGAGCGTATTCAATGATTTATTTTGTTTGTCATCGGAATATTTGATTCAATCAGCAAAAAGAAATTTATAGATGTTTCAAATATGAAATGTCATCAATTCGGATTTTATTCGAAGTAACGAATATCGAAATTAGAATAAAAAAAACAAACAGTTATTATATCTTCAGTGTGTAGCTGTCTATTCAACAATATTAATCGCGATGCGTTATTGACGTTATTATATATATTACAGGCTTACATAGAAATACAGATATCGCACGATGAGAGGATACATACAATATGAGAGCGGCCGTGTGTCACAATGGAACATCGATCCACCAGAAACCCAGACATGAGATATTCGATTCTTCTCTGATGTATTTCGTAAGTTTTTCTTCATACATTTGTCGCCATTGTGCTTTTTATATCTAGAGTTTAGAATATTCATTTAATATCTCACAATTCTCGAAACCAAATCTAAGTCATAAATCTCTAGATTGTGTCGTGAGAGTTAATGATAAAGGTTAAAATAAATCGAGATGACCCAGATTTAAACGATAAAATTTGGCGAAACACGCCAAATCGAAATGAAACGTGGAAGCTTTTATAGCAAATAAAGCGGGGTTCCGCCGAGTCTGGAAATAGGCGCACCCTAGAGGAGTCCTTGTTCACGATACGCAGCAGCGTCCTCCGAGGAGGACGAGAATCGAATAGCAGAGTAGTTTTAGGAGTGGGGAAGAGGGAAAAGGGGTTGCGCGCGTTTTGTCGCGCGTTATCGGTGGCTGCGCATTGACACGACGCGCGGTTCTTGCTACGCTGGTAGCGCAGCATTATCGCCGCGTTACCCTCGCGACACGGAAGAGCGAGCGGAGAGTACGACTTTGCTGCTGCCGCGCGCCAACATCACTTAATTAGGCGAGAAAGCGCGCAGCAGAGATTCGAGCTAATCGAGCGAGCTCTATCTTTGTCGTCACCTCGACAAGCAGCCTCCTCGCTTCTTCGGAACCGTTTATTCGAGTGACATCTTTAGTAGAAGAGCGATATCATCCTATGCGTGCGAATTAATCTCGAGCAACAACGTGCTGGTGCAACAAGAATCTGGTCAGTTCGATTTTTCAACATCGCGCGGACCATCATCGAAAGTGTTCTCACATGCAAATACGTACGAGTGACGAATCACTTTGTTGATTATCGGTCAGCGAGATAACAAAGCCCAAAGAGTGATCTTCCGCGTTTAATATAATTGCGATCGACTCCGAGATCCTTCAGGTCGTCGACCCTCGGTCTTTCTGTCGTTGTACGCGAGTGTCGCATATCGTTGAGCAAAGAAAGCAATTCGTATCGTAATTACGTTTTCAATCTCTCGTGGGAACTTGATCAGCTGCGAGTTTTCCATCTCTGGTCTTCCCGTCGGCGTCACACATCGTCGGATCGTCGATTCTATATAGTTACTGCCCTTCGTCTTTCCTTTCTTTCGCATCGCGAACACACGGGCTGCACACATGGGAGACCAAGAGCAACAGGAAACAATACCGAGCGTGGTGGAACTGAATGTGGGCGGCGTCTTTTACACCACAGCCTTGACTACGTTAACTCGCGAGAGTGAATCGCACCTGGCGGCACTCTTCACGGGCAAATCCGCCGTGGAAAAAGATGCCAAGGGAAAATACTTTCTGGACCGTGACGGCGTGCTCTTCCGCTACGTACTGGACTTCCTGCGCAACCAGGCGCTGGTATTACCGGAAGGCTTTCGCGAACGCGAGAGGCTGAAGCAGGAAGCTAATTTCTACGGTCTGCCCGGTTTAGAAAAGGCGATTTTGGAGAACGCCGAATCCAACGGACAGACTGGCGGCACCGTCGGCAAACGCACGCCGGGATATATCACCATCGGCTATCGTGGCAGTTTTGCTTTCGGTCGCGAGGGTTTGGCTGATGTAAAATTTCGCAAACTCTCGAGAATTCTTGTATGCGGCCGCGTAGGACTCTGTCGAGACGTATTCGGTGAGACGCTGAACGAGAGCCGCGATCCCGATCACGGCCTGTCTGATCGCTACACGTCACGCTTCTTCCTCAAACATAGCATCATCGAGCAGGCCTTCGATATGCTGCAGGAACAGGGATTCAGATTAGCAGGTAGCTGCGGATCTGGTACTGCTGGCGGCAATTCCGAACAACTAAAACCTGGCGTCGACTTAGAGGAAAATCGCTGGAACCATTATAACGAGTTCGTTTTCGTGCGCGATTAGAGAGCAGCGGGCAGCGTGATATCCGTGAATAAAAAAAACCAAAAAAGTACATTGAGTTGACTTAATCCTTGTCTTCTTTCGCGGCTGCTGCGATTAATGCCTTGCACATTTTATATAAATGCCGTGCGATTGATAACAGCTGCTGTTAGAGAAGACTTGGTTCGGGTGCTCGAAAAGAGATTCAAGCAAAAACGTTTTTGTTTGAAAACACGTGTGCGCGTAACGCCGCGATTCTCTTTAATAGTACACATCACAAGTGTAAGGAAGTCGATATGTACGACACTGAGCTTACATATTAGAGGTGTACACGAAAGCGTCGGATGTTCGTTTCGCAGTTTCCTTCGCAGCTAATTTTATCACGCGAGACAATTTTCCCGAAGCTGTCATTATCATTATCATCAATCGACGTTGAAGCGGAAATAGAAATTGGAGCGCGTTTCAAGGCTCGAGAATACCAATATCGTCTGTCTTCTGAAATATTAATTCTCGAGATTCTGCCAACCTTATCGATTCTTTCATGAGAATAAAGAAAAAACGGGTGGAGTGAGTAAGAAAAAGTGACGAAGATAAATTTTTGAGAACAACTGCATTCCGATAAAAACTCTTTTCCGAGACAACTGATAAGAAGTACTAATAAGGAGGAATTGAAACTTTGCATTTATTAAAACACACAAAAACTGTGAGAACTTGAATTTACTGTAATTATGCTAAACTTCCAAATGCTCGTAATACATAATAAAAAATTATAAATCAACATTGAGTTGCAATAGAAGTATTTGCTTTAAACGAGAAAGACAGACAGACAGAGAGAAAGAGAGAGAGAGAGAGAGAAGAAAGTGGTTTTATTCAAGTCGTAATTATACATCTTACACGCATAACTAGCTATTCAGTTGTATGTGAGTTTGATCCACAATCGTGCAAATAGAGCTCGAAACTTCTCTGTGAATACAGCGTGTTTAATATCTTTCATAATTAGAACACGCCTAAACAGCGGTAAAGTTGCCGTTTTATGCAATAATCCTCAGTTGCTTCTTTCAACTGAGATTGTCGCGTGAGAGCGAGACGTTTTATTAAAAAGCAGTCTCGCGTAAATCCAACGGATGAAAGACATACCAATGTCAGGCGTTTTTCATTGAACAGCGGGTGTGAGGTAAGACGGTAAATGAAACACGCAAAGCGAATCGAAGATGAAGAGCGCTGGGGGGTGACGTTGAAGTATCTGCGAACGAACGCGACTCAGGCTACTTAAAAAAAAGCAACAGCGTCAGATATGTCAGTGATAAATGTCGCCAGGAGCGACGAGCGAGAAAATGTAAGGAAAAAACATAACACACGAAATGCAAACTTAACAGCTAATAGGAATATCAAGTTGTTTTTTAGAAGATCGAACAAATGACGCAATAACGTTTTTGTATTCTTTTCATTTGCATTTGACGCAAATTTGCATTTGACGAAAATTGGCAGAAAATTAAAGATGACAGGAAATTTTGATTCATGATGATGAGATCAAAGAAAGTCTCCGGTGCTAGTTTTGCCGAATAATAGCCGGTGTTATTGTGTAAATGGTCGGGCCGGATGATCACTACTTAATCAATGGCCGGATCGAGTACTATTAATTGCTAGTCGGATCAAAAAAGTTACTGCATATTAAAATCGGACACTTCCTTTGAAAAGAAAAAAAGAAAGAAAAACTTATTATTATTTCATATGCGTAAAAAGCGCGAGCAATAATTTGATAAATTAACGTCCAATGAATTATCTCTCTGGATGAACAGACCAACCCCGTTTGTTGTAGGCGGAGTGGCTTGTCGAATGCGTGTACTTACAACCTAACACGATGTCTCAAACGCTATTCAAACGACAGAACAGCTAGATACGTTCTTTCTTTTAATAATTTCTCGTTAGCTTTGAAAAAATTCGAACAGCGATAATCCTTTTCTTTTTTTCACTTTATAAAAATATTTATTTTCTTGTTTACTAGATAAAAAAACTACAAAATTTAAGGTTTTTCTTCTCTTAGAATTCTTTTTAAAAATTCTTTTTACTTATTTTGTTATCTCATACGATTATATTTATATTCAAAGTGGAAAATAGCAGATATATCCTTCAGAGGCTTCAATTACTATGCGCTTGGAAACACGCAATGAACCGTTTGTTTGCTTATCGCGGGTAATTGCTCACATGCTTAGAATGATGAAAGAATCGAGAAATTTATCGCGATTATAATCTTGTCGCAACAGGTTATCGTGTAACAGACTATGTTTAGCGATTGTTACGAAGAGTGCCGACGGCGCTGAACAGACGTGGCAGCTATCGAGTTTCGCGTTGGTTTCTCGTTATCGTAAAAGTGTACAATGTCAGAGAGAGTTTTCTCAAGAACGGACGAGATAAATAATAAATCTTTGATAGTAATGTTTCCTATATACAAACGACAAGATACCCGTACATCGTGACAATCGACAAAATATTGCAGAATTATGATAATGAAAATGTAGAATTATATCTTTGCACCTTAAATGTACCAAAATATTATATATCGTGACAAAATTCATTATATAAAGTGAGAAAATGGGAACAAAAACCCACAAGTCGCTCTTTATATATACATATATAAATAAATAAATAAATAAATAAATATATATATATATATATATATATATATATATATATATATATATATGCAGTTTTGACGCGCATTGCGGTCATTCAAAAACAATTTTCAAGACGATGATATAAATCATATCTGTTATTATCAGTACGCGCTTGTTGCTCGACGAACGTGTGTCCGCGTTTACAATGGATTGATTTATAATGACATTATATTTGGATTGTCGCACGAGTTATGTGTATAACCGCGATAACTCAATGTGCATTCGCGAGAGAAAATTTAATTTATATCTTTATATGTATCACTTTACTTCTTTCTCTCTGCTATTGATATCACTAATTGTTTGCAATTGTGCGACATTTCCCGCGAATGGTGCTAATAATAGTACAGTTGTTATCTTCGGTACGTAAGTGTAGAAATATTTATTGTTACACAACGCAGTGAAACGGGTGAACGACGTTTTCGATTTTTCCAAGTTTACCTCTTATGACGGAGATCAGTTCTTTACATAATCTGCAACTACTGACCTAACCACCAACATTAATGGTTGCACTGGATGAAAGATGTTCTATTATTAATCAATGACGATTGAGGGACCGGTGGCGTTGTAATCGTTGCGCGATTACTCTATTAGTGTAAATCGCCTACTTCCATTTACTCTGTACAAATAAAGACATTCAGATAAATCAAACTTGTAAGATAGTAGAGATGTTGCAAAAAGAAAAGATATTTAATGTGTATAAGAAGGAAGTCTCACGTAGAGTGACTATAAACTTTCATTCATACTTTATGACGGCACAAAAGTTCAGTTTTTTTACACGGTACATATCATTTGTATATGTTTGTACGCATCTTTATTTTTAACAAAAGCAACAATCCTCTGTGTGTGTGTGTGTGTGTGTGTGTGTATGTGCGCGCCGCGCGCGCGTATATATAATTGTTTTTATCTTCTTCAAATTCCTTGTCTTGCGGTAAATTCGAACTATAAAAATGTTAATTTGGTGTGAAAACGTTATTTTTGACCTGTGGACATAGTCCACGCAAAATGGGCCCAAAAACAGATATTTATTGCAATGTACAAAGTGCATTGTAATTATTCGTTGTCGATATCTCATTTCGAGAATCATTGTCTCCGCGGTCGGAAAAAATAAAACGACCAATTTTTGATCTGAATTTTTGTCAAATAGAGTTTTAAATCGTATTTTCTGATTCACTCGTATTGATTTCTAAATACTAAAAGTGGGATTTCTACTGCTAGGAAAGGATATGCAAAACGCGCCACGTTCTTTCTACATGTTGTGTGTGCGTTGATAAATATAGTAATGTAATCATTCTCTTATTTACTTGCACCAAAATAATTTCTTGACGTATTATACATGAGAAACATCGTGATCGACGATATACCGAATAAAATTCGTGATATAGAAGCTCTATTCATAGACTAGAGACAGTATTATAACTTGCCTGCGAAAGAAAGCGAATAGTAAACGAACGAATTTGATGGAACTTGAACCACCTTGAGTACCATTAAACGTTGTTAAATAAAGAATTCAAGTTCTATTGAAATCCAATGACTGTATTTAAAAGTTCACTTTGTTTATTGTAATCTTTTACTCGAAATAAGATACCTACTTTTATTCTTGTCGATGTAATTTCAAACTTTTTTGTAAATTTTTTGTAACTAGATTGAATTTTCACAACTATTTTTAATCAAAATAAGTTTTTCATAAGCTTTGCAAAAACTTTTTGTTTTAAAACGAAGTTTCCGTAAGTATCACTCCCAAAGTTTAGAATTTTATGTTCCCATCCGAAAGTTTGTTTGTAAGATATAATAAGAACATAGAAGAAAATAGGAGAGCAAATAATATATTTAGATCGGATCATTTTTCAAGTCATATTTCTTACAATATACTAAGACAAACGTTACTCACGTAATGAATATAAGATTGGTTCGCATAATATTTCAGTTTATTACTATTTATGTATCTCTTGATTGGATAGAACTTTGTTTTAAATATGTTGCATGTAGTAGTTCAACGTTCTGTGAAAAATGTTCCGACACCAGAACTGCAACATATAGAATGTTTGATTCTCATAATCGAAATTCGGAAACTGTTTATTGAAAACAATTCAACGAGTAGAATCAGAGCAGTGTTTAGGTATAGCGTATAAGACTGTGGCGATATGAAATTATTATACATGTATATACGTTTATCTAAGTGAGAAAAAAAAGAGAAATAAAAGGATGAAATGACATGAGAACAAACTCTGATTATGAAGATCTTTAACCCATATCTCCGATGCATGTGTCTCGCGATGTTTGATATAATTTCTAAAATTCTCGGCTTTCTACAATTTTTCAAACCCCGTTACTGCGTACTTTCTTTTGTGATTCCGGTCAAGCAAAAGCAAAAATAAAAACTTACACGCGATATGTGTTACAACGAGAGTAAATTATCGAAAACTAAATTTACGAAACTCGGCCCAAAATCCATTTTTTCAGACAAACGCCTCTTTCTTCGAGAAAATATAAACAATTTTATTTTTTCAGACGTTATTTTTCTTTCATGTAATCCGAGATAGATTTCCATTTCTTTTTCCAGAAAATATAAAGGTGCGTACTTACGATCGGTGGTTTTATATATATTGAGACTTTTGTTTGACGCAATGTTTTTTTTTTTTATGAGCTTTATATACTCGACGATATTAGACATAAAATATGTTGGGCTGCCGTCTAAGAAAAATCCTAAACCCGCAATAAAGCATGTATAAGGAAAAATATGATAGTGGTTTTTCTTTAGGTCACCCTACAACATATTCGGGGCTTATCGAAATCCAACGGACTGTAGCGAACGTTTCCCTTTAAGCTTTCCATTATACGAAGGGACGTAATGATATTACTTCAAGACTGGTTTTTCTATTGTGTATAAACGAAGTGAATAATTTTTTTTCTGTTGTCTCACATATCGAGATGTGTAAAAGTAATGTGGAAAAGTAATCTATAAGATAAAAATTGATCACCTTAAAATTAAAACTTAAAGCGAAAAAACTGAGGTAATGAAATTGTCTTCGGTGCGATATAGGGATTAAAAGATAATCTGTAGCATCACCAAACGACCTACTTATGTGATTTTCTCTGACGCAACAGAAACTACGGAAATGTAATTATAGCTTTTACAAAGTCATTGTAAAAAAAAATTCCTGTTTTTCGAGAAAAAATAATCAGAATTTGAGCGTTTTGAATGTTTTATTTAAAACACAATTGATATAAACACTTTTGATCTATCTATACATATATGTTTAACAAACGAGTGCTATCTGCAAAGTATGTAAAATTATAAAATTTTCATTAATTTCTATATAGTAGAAACGGAACACTCGAGAAAGATCGTAGTGCAAAGTCGAATTAATTGCAGCAAAACGGAATCGTTTCGTTGTCTATATTGGGAAAAGGAAGGAACGATTCTCCTTTGCACGATAGTTCCTCTTTCGAGAAGAAGATTGCGCGTTAACGAACGAAGCGCCGGAAGGTGGATGCAAACTCGATTGCTCGTTTGAATGAACTGTCGCGCTTATACAACTGACGCCCAGTTTGTCGGATGTAGCCGGAGCTGCGCCCTTGCATAGAAGAGAGCAATCTGTTGCTGAGTTTTCATCCGTCAGGAAGAGAATGAGAAACAAGAAGATAGAAGAGCGAAAGAAAGAGTAAGCATCATCAACGAGACGTAAGGAAAATCGAGGTCGAGTTTCTTTCCGTCAACGACTCCTCTTGTCGTGTTGTTAAAAATACGGATAGAACAAGGTGTTGTTTATCTTTGCGCTTATCATTCTCTTTGACATTTCCGACGACAGGGATAATACGCAAATCTTTAAGAAGAAAATCATGTTTTACAAAAGATATTATAGTACTACTGTTTTGTGTGTGTGTACACAGTATGGGCAATATTTTAAAATTGTTTGTACACTATGCACATACTTTATAATTTTACAAATCTTGAGAATGAAAAATTTTTTGTGTTTTTAATGTTTTACTCTTTTTTTCCATAGACTTATAAAATATTTCCGGTTAAAAAAAAATGTGATGTGAAAAACATAACTATTTACTTTCTATTTTCTATTAAAAATATGTTCTTTGTTCAGTACATGTTATTTTGGTATGAGCGAAAAAAGATCAAGGGGAGTCTTCGGTCAGAAAATTTGGTTGAGAGGATGATTTTTTTCACCATGCAATTTTATCCATGTGTTTGGCAGGAAGTATCGATTATTGGTTAGGTATTTCCCTTTTTTTTCGCAATCTATAAATATTGTATGAGTTCTAAAAGTGTTGGATCAATCTCGCGAAAATATGTGAGAAGGCATCTCCATGCATGGTCGGTGCAGAAGCTTTAGAATTAATATGATTCTAAAAACGATTATAGTACGCATTAAAAAAATTATATAATAATTTGTGTGCAACGTTTCGTTTTGAGAGAAAAAACGCATTTTGACATTTTTTCAAAGCATAGTAAAAACCTAATCTAATCAGGTCTAGCCTAATAAAACTTGTCTTTGTGTTTAAACCCCTGAACCTGAACCCGCACTTTTAAATATATTTTCTAATTTATATATATTTCTATTTTATATATTTATATTTATATTTTATGTGTAATATTTTTTATTATTTATTATTTATGTATTATTTTATTTTGTATATTTTATCTGACATTTATGTCATTGAATAGTCTTATTAGAAAATAATTCTAAATTTCACAGTAAATAAGTTTTTGTATAGAGTGTTTGAATCAATCGCTAGACGTGCAGAATAAAGTTAGTGTCAAATAAATAATCTGAAAAGAGCAATGTAACAAGTGTGACGTAATGACGTACACGTACAGTTAATATGCGAGAATTTCGGTGCATTCGTTTTCCTAACTTCTTCCTGTCTCTTTGAAATTTTTTGCATTTAACAAAATTAAGAAATTATTTATGTAACTTTTACATCATCATCCTCTGTAAAAATTTTACTTGAGTTTCTCTCTCTCTCTCTCTTTGAAAAGTTTTATTAAGTTTTTAGTAAAAAAGCAATTCTTGAAAGTTGTTTTTTCAACTTACTAAACGCACGGAAAGTTGTTTTTTCAACTTACTAAACATACGGAAATTATTTTCTTTCCATGTTTGATAAATAAAGACATTCCATGACTCTATTAGTTTATTTTGTCATGTCATATTATCGACTGAACGTGTAGCAAATTATGCGGAATGTTTATATAATTAACGCAAATCCTATATAATATAATTGCGGCGATATGCGTTCAATGAATGATATAATAACGATTTAGGTTCTATTCTAATTAACTTGCAAATATTTTGCAAAATCGCCGTACTACGACATATTTGATAATACGATAACAATACAAAAAAGGCCAAATACGTTACGTTATATTATTTTTAATTTTTAATTGTTTGCAGATAAAGATATGAAAATGTATACTGATCACAAGTGTATCAATGTGTACTTGTGATTATGTGTGGTCATATTTGTAATAAATCATAAATTTTTAGTAAAAATCGTGAAATATTAAATAGAATTTACAGGAAAATATACAGAGAAAATATATACAACAATTCTATGAATATTTTAATTCTTTTGATGTTATAATTTAGGAAACAAATAGTATTTTACTAAACAAGCACACACTTTTATATATAATATATTTCAGTAATATATTTTATACATTACATTTTACATTCGTAATACGTTAATCGATTCCCCAGCTCGGGACCTCCAAATTGAGTCCATGAATTGAGACCGCGATACCGTCGAACCGGTCACAAATAAAAATTAAAAAAGAATAAAAGAGAATATTATATGCAACTAAAATCAAGTACAAGATCGTTACCACTTAAAAAAAAAAAAACATTTGATATATCTCGTTGATTGAATATCTTTCTTTATACTCCACTTCTGATGCAATTGTCATGTTTATTGGGTTTATTGCACGTCGAAAGTGAATCAAACAAATCGTCCGAGTGACGAATGAAGTTCCGAGCATCCTTAATGTAGCATCGTGATAAAGCCCGCGCGCTTCTCCGTTATTCATAACTTTATTAGTTGATCAATACGTCTGAATTTGTGTTACTGTGTAAATTCAAAGTTTGTAAATATTTATAAAATGCTAATTTCTTCACATATTCAAAAAATTTTCAGCTTTATTAAAATAGTATTTAATATTCTGCAGCATATCGTGTACGTCATGTTTTTTTTATCAGATAATATGGCATTTAAAATCTAAATGAACCCAGTATATTATATTATTTTTCAAAATTTTTTTGTATTCAATCTTTCGGTCGGCGATTTATCACTTTTTCGATTTATCATTTTGTTTGTCTGTATTGTTCCGATGCGAACAAAGCGACGATCACGCGGCTCTCCGTCCGTTTGTTCGAATTTCCAATTGCCGCGCATATTATCATTGCCGTACAAATTTTCCCGATTAACTCGTAATTATCTCCCTCTCGACCTAGGTCTCTGCCGCTTATTCCCAGGCGTCCCTCGTTCTCGCATCGATCGAATCGGATAATTATAACACTGCGGCCGGTGCTGCGGTCGAAGGACGACGACTACTAGGAGCGGCGGCCGGAGTGAGAATTTCAATCTCGTGCTCGCCGACGAATTTCGGATGCTCGAGGTGCCAGCAATTTCCCCTGACGACGAATACAATTTCCAGGTAGATACTCGCATTGAATAGCGTTTATAGCGTTTACATCATGTTACCGAAGATCCGCAGGGTCATCTCACGGCAACTGTTAATGAAGCAAGAAAACATTCACTTTTTTGTATGTTCACTTCTTCTACGTATGTATGTTTGCGTCAAGTCTCTTTGCTGGTTTTAGAATGTTTATTTATTTCTGAATATATTTTTTCGTCTATTAATAAATATAAATTTCTTACGACGAGTTTGCTACGTACGCATGTTCGATAATTTTATGAGTGACATATTGCTCTAAAGATATAAAAATTATTCGCCGAAAACATTGATAAGAGAAGTTTTTTTTTGCTCCAAATAAGTTTCAAAGTTACTTTAAAGTTTGACAGTCACGAGGCAAACAAATCTGGAAAGTTTGATCGCGAGGAAAAGAAATTTTCTTCGGTTTCAGATTACGGTGACATTATATATAGTGCTTTACGAGAACCTCGAAGCTTGAATTACAAAATTCAAGAAAAGTTTCGCATTGAAGAAATTCTTCTTTCGTATAGCTTTTATTATTTCATTTATACGTCATAAAATATGCAATATAATCGCCCCTCTCTTTGTTTCTATTACAGAAGTAAAAAAAGATCAATGAGAGAAGCATAAGAAAAATCTGTTAAAGTATACTTTAACATGATTTTTTAAGCGAGAACGTGTGAGACGTATTTCTGGTCCCTTAAGGATAATAAAAGTGCTCAGGGTTGTATTTATCTCTTCACGCGGACATACTCTCATTCGCGGATCTTATAGGACTTTTCAACTCACTTTACAACTCGTTTTATCTGTCCACGAGTGGTGATACAGTTATTATCGGATACCTTGTACACACACATACACACACACACACACACACAATCTTTACACAATAATTGATAAGATCTGTTGACAATAATTGATATTTTAAGGCAGCGTGGAACATTGAAAATTTGGATGAACTATTTTTACAATAAAAAATAGAGATCTTTCTACATTCAAACGCGAAACTTTGATTTGCTAGATTATTTGAGACTGATCTTATCGAAAAGACTGCATTTGTGAGGCAATTCGAGAGAATGAAAAATAGTTCGTACAAATTGCTTCTTGCGAAATTCATTGCGAAGATAAGTATCGACAGATTATGCAACGTATATAACAATCCAGCAATATCTCTAAAATCGCTCTATTCGAATATCTCTATCCTAAAGGATCGCTCTATTGCTTTATCGCGATGCGAGCGTAATGGTATTTCGTATTCGAGAGTCGTTCGATGCGGATTCCGCGGACGTCGACGACGACGTCGTTGCTCTCACGGCGACCGCATTTCCCCGGTAAGTGATCAGGATTGAGTTACGTCGTTGTGGCAGCAATCACGAATAACCACGAACGATCTTGGTGAACCCCTAGTAAACACGAAACAATTAAAATCCGCTTGAAACATCTATCTTGATGACCTTTAGATGTTTCAGAGAGTATATAAAGTTTTTCTACCTCTATATAACTACAGTTACCGCAGTTACTGCAGTTACTCTTGCGTATCTTTTTTGCAGTTAAGTTTCATCAATAATATTTATATAGTTTGACATTCTCTCTTTTGCTTTTCTTTAGAAAGAAAATTATTTATACAAAGTATTACTGCAATGTATAAAGATCATTGAATAACTGGTTGTCACTTGACTTCTCCTAAGAGACTTCTCCCATAAAATAGAAGTGTAGGGACAAAGATGTTACTTCATTTCTTTTTTCATATCTTGATTAGATGAGCTATATTCTGTTATCGAGAAAAGTTGAGAGAAAAGAAGGTGAAATTAGGATTTGTGAAGACAATTCTTGCGTCGACCGTGCTCATAGGATCGACAAACTATACCGATAAGGCACATTCGGTCGCGATCTACTGTCAATATAAGCGAATCATAATCGTATTTTGGATTTGCAGATCTGTCTGGTTCGATAGGTCGAACCAGACTGAATGTTCTCGCAGTTTGATCAATACAAGTAGCGCGCAGGCGTTCTCGGCAAATGGAAACACGAGGCTCTCCGCTTTCCTGACCACGTCTGATCGGGAACAAGTAGATGACAAAAAATATGAATTCTTAAAGAAAAAGAAAAAGAGAGAGAAAAAGCCCATGTACTTCTTGCTACTTAAATTAGTCGCTATATTTTAAAAGATGTCTCAAGAGACAGTTCACCAATTAAAGAAATGAGTATTTGATGCTTTCGCGGTGTGTTGTATTAACATTTGAAGATGTTTTTTTGAACCGCGTTAGTGTCATTTTTATACCGACGTTTTGTGAACATTTCAGCTCACTTCATCAGGGTTTCAAAAGCAATATCAGGTTGTTCTTGAAACCCTGATGAAGTGAGCTGAAATATTCACGAAACGTCGATATATACACAGTAAAAAATTGTGCGTCAAAATGTAGAACTTTTCTTGTGTTACGACGTTTTGATTATTACTTCAATGTAAAATTAACATAATACTGATATGTTATTATTTTTTTAATCTTTTCACGTGTCAAATTTATGTTAACTT